TGAGTGATAAACTCTAAACCTGTTAGCAGATAGCATATAAGAACTATCTCTAAATAACAGATGCTGTCTTATGCTTCCCTGCATTGTTGCTCTTATGTTTCTACAAAGTTTATTGTATATTTTTAAAAAAATAAGTTAGGAATTTTTGGTACAAGGGATTATTAGAAAGAGTTGTCCATGAATATAGAAAATTACTGATCAAAATAATTTGAAAAGTATAGTAATTTTATTAATATTATATTAAACTTTCTAATATCAATAAGTAAGCAACTTTTAATAGCATAATAGCTAGATTTTTTATATAGATATTTTCTAAATTAAATCAGAATACTATTATATATTACTGTATTTTTCAAATTACTGTAATCAGTAATTTTTATACATCATACTAGAAATCAGAAATCTAGAAAAAAAATGCAAATCTGTAATTAGTTAGAAATAATTCTTAGCTAATCACAGATTTGCATTTTTTCCAGATTTCTGATTTCTGATTTCTGGTATAATATATGAAAATTACTAATTACAGTAATTTGAAAAATGTAATAAAATGCAATGTTTATAAAATGAATTTTGTTAAATATCGCAAGTTGTAATATCACAAATTAATATTTAAAAAAAAAAATTAAAATTCGAATTAGTTAAGGTTAGAGTTTGAGCTAGTATTGGGATTAGAGATAGAGAGCATATATATATACAAAATTAAGAGCTGAAAACTTTTAATTAGAAGCCCAAGACTAGTATATTTATAATGCAAGCAAGATGGCTAAATTACCTTTAATGCGACCATGCACATCATGCGAAATTTGAAAAACAAACAAATTTTACTATGTAGTCATTTATGATTTGTTATATTAATTATTCTAATTTACAAGATTGTAATAAAGGAAAGAATTAAATATTTATACGTCTAGTAAATCAAAGTTAATATAAAGAAAAAAGTTCTTATGTAATAATAATTTTGAACATAAAATTCCAGTAAACTTTCAGTTGCGCAACGACATTTCGAGATCTTCAAGATCACAAAACTTAAATAAACTTTCAGTTGCGCAACGAAAATTGCGTGATCTTCAAGACCACAAACTTAATTTTATATAGTATATTGTACAATACTTTACAATAATCTTTAAAACAGATCGAATAAGCATAAAGAAATATAAATATAGTGATAATAAAAATGTATACATAAATGTGATCATATTTATCGTTATTAAATAAAATTAATATAAATTTAAAAAAAAATTATCTAGTGTAACATCCTTGCCAACCTATTAGTCCAACTCTCAGAACCAGAACTTTGAACATCATCATCATCATCATAATCAGAAGTACTCACATTATTAGCTTGTTCCAAATCATTATTATCATTCGTTATATCATTATTTGTTTTGAACTGATTTTTTTCAAGTGCATCAACTTTCATTTTACCAAAGGCAACTTTCTTTAATATAAAAGCTATTGCGAGTGCCGCAACTATAATACCAAGAATTGTTCCAATTATTGCAGTTGAATGGGGTGACAAATATATACCGGGAGGAGAAGGTGGAGGTTCTATAGTAGGAGCGAATGGTTGACCATTTGGCATTAAATTTGCAGGAATATTTGAAGAGAGTAAATCAGCATCTTGAATTATGGGTTTTGTTGGTGATGGTGACGAATTGACTCCAACGGACGGCGATAATGTGCCTGTAGGTTGATTCAGTGATGAATTAGTTTGTAATGGACTATTAGATTGCAGTGGACTATTAGTTTGTAATGGACTATTAGATTGCAGTGGACTATTAGATTGCAATGGACTATTAGATTGCAGTGGTGAATTAGTATTAGATGATGGCAAATTAGTATTAGATGGAGGCAGCGAATTATTATTAGATGGTGATGGTGGTGAATTACTATTTTGCGGTGATGGTGAATTAGTATCGGATGGTGGTGGTGAATTATTATTTGGCGGTGACGGTGAATTAGTATTAGATGGTGAATTAGTAGGAAGAGAATTTCCTTGACCCTGGCCTATAATGCTGTTAACTTGATCAGGTATATTGTTAATTGTATCGTTAACTGTATTGACTGTATTACTGACAGTGCTAGGAACTGCTTTGTTGATAATGCTAGGAACTGCATCGTTGACAACGGTAGGAATTGTATTGACCACACCAGTAACTGCGTCGACAACTTTAGGAACTATATCGTTGACGACGGTAGGAACTGTATTGACCACACCAGTAACTGCGCCGACAACTTTAGGAACTGTACCACTATTAACTGCTTTATCAACCGTACTATTGACCACACCAGTAACTGAGTCGACAACTTTAGGAACTGTACCATTATTAACTGCTTTATCAACTGAACTGTTAACTGTTTTGCCAACTGTATTGGCTGTCTTAACAACGCTAGGAACAGTCTTATCAACAGTCTTATCAACTGTATTATCAACTTTATTATCAACTGTATCATTAACTGTATCATCAATTGTGTTGACAATAGGAACGGCATCATTAACTGTATTATTGACTATATTGGAAACTTTAGGAACTACATTATTAACAGGATTACTGGCTTTATTGCCGCTGGTAGCTTTAGTATCGTCAGCAACTACGTTATCAACTGGATTTTTTTTACTTTTACTGGTAAGCGTAGGAACCACTTTATTAGCTGTACTATCAACTGTATTACTGATCACCTTATCATTTGTATTTTTATTGCTAGCCGTGTCAACTACATTTGTAGGCGTTTTGGATAGATTAACCAAACCCACCATTTAGTGATAAGCAAAAAGGTTATAGCTAAATAAATGGTGAAGTTTGTTTTTAAAAAGGAAAGAAAAAGGCGAGCTAAATTACTGCCAGCAGGAAAGAAATTATCATATTAAAATCGAAAAGAAGTGATTTAAATATTAGATTATGAGCGATTAAGTGTTATCATATAAGGGAATACAACAAAATATTGTATAACACCTTGGTCAATTTTACAAAAATGATATTTTGTTTCAGTAAAAAGTGTGGTTACTTTATCATTTATGTATTTCGTTTCAGTATAAAGCGTGGTTACTTTTTTATTTATTTATTTATTTCTTAACTAATTATTGTTCGATCAATTTGTTAAAAATTAATTTAATAAATTACATAATTAATATATTTCGGATTACAGTATTACCGAACACATTAATGCATATCTGTAAAGCGGAGCACATTTCCCAAAATGTCGGGATAATTATGCAATAATATACCATGACTTCTTTCATAAATTCGTACATAGCTACCCTCCAATTAATCTAATTCTTTCGTTACTGTATATAAGGGCCCAAAAAAGAATATCATTCTTATTATCGATACGTATATACTCACTTATTTTAATTATGGTATTTAATCATAAAATCACAATTATTTTGTTAAAAAAAAAAAAAAAAAGTCTAGAGTTCAATTTCCAAGTTTGTATAGATATATTGTTTTTTTTTTCCTAATAAAATGACCAATCGGAGCTATATTTACATAATCCCAATACCATTCATTTTATTAGCATTCATGTATAAAAATTAATTAAAACTCTATTTAAAAATTTTATACCATTCAACTTTTAATAAAACCGGAATGCAACTTAACCATTATATAGAATGCTACTGGTGAATTACCATAAATTTAGCGAATCCTTGGCAAGTTACAGTAATTTTAACTTATTACTGAATTTGCTATCGCAATGTTTCAATAATAAATGGTAAAAATTTTAATTATATGAATGGCGAATATTTACGAAAGTTTATTCAAACAGTATTTTCGGAGGGCTCCTTGTATTCGAAAGTAATAAGTTATCATTGATGTAATACCGGATACAGTATCTATCGCTATGCATTAATACGATCAATTACTTAAAGATTTTGTGTAATGGTAATCTAATTTACTCCAAATATTGTCCGACATTCCTATATGTATCAGGTGAAAAATAAGTTTACGTATCAAAAAATAGCAGTAGAGGTGAAAAAAAATATATCGATATATATAAAAAGAGAAGAGAAAAATCACGATACTAATAGGCTAATAAAAAAAAAGTTTAACGTTTGTAATATAACATAATTTAAACGCATTTTGTGTAATATTAACCTATATTAATAATATAATAATACATAATCTACATGGCGGAGCGAAACCCGTAATCTAAAATTACTTAATTTTTTTTTGACGCAGAAAATTACCTTATCCTAAAATGTTGCAAAAATTTGTATAAAGAAAATGTTAAAGAATTTTAACTGCAAACAATGTACTACGAAATCGGGTTAATCAATCAATTTACAAAATAGGAATTTCTTTTGTAGTGCAATTATTAATTTTACGATCTACGTACAACTGGTAAGGTCATACTACATTTTATCGTTATATAATTTTGCATATGATAAGAAAATGATGATGTTATCTTATTTTATCATATGCATTATCATTATCTTAATAGTGGATTCCGCGTAATTAAAACTACATTATGTGACTGATCAGATACAAAATAGATTAGATAAAATATTTTAATATAGCGATAGGTTTTGACGCCTACTTTAATCAATCCTGGCAATTATTGATACATGCTGTAATATTCGTCAAAGTATATTGATTAATAAATGGCAATTATATACCATCAAAACTAAACTCAGTGATTATCGGTGTGTTTGTCACTCTCATAAAATAAATGGTAACACTAGAAATGATAAATTTTTAATTATCGTTATTTTCAAATTTTGCGGTAAGGGGAAGTGACACTTAATATATAATTTGTGGGAAGAAAATAGTGTAATAAATATTGTAAGGTTGGTAATGTGGTCCCCGTGACTAGTCTTGGCAATACTTACTACCTTATAGAAAGAGGTGCTTTTATTTGGCAAGTGAATGTTCTAAGCTTCGGTCATCTTTTCTATTACTGTGGGTAGAGTTGTTTATCACTTTGGAATTTATGATAATTATAATTCAATGGATGAAAATAATTTAATTTCATTATGCCATTTAGTAGAATATCTGAGAAAATTAGAGATAGTACTTTTGTGACATTCGAAATTTTTAAAATCAAAAACTTGAAACTTTATATATGTTGCCATAGAACTTGCAATTGATCAGGTAAAATTACTGATTAGTAATAATTAATTTGTTAATTTGATTCTCTAATGGCACTGTAAAACATCATAATCAAATTGTAATAATAATTCGTCGATGCTTGGAATTATAGCATCGTTTAATAATAAATGTATTATTAATAAGGCCGTTTAAAGTTGATTTTTAGGTTAACGCCATCCCCACTGTCCTTTAACTGTCTCCCCGACAATTAAACAAGCAAACCATAGAATAGAAATATGTAGAAACAGGCACTCAGGGAATTCCGATGTAGACAGTCATAAAACGTCAAACACTCGGGGAAATCGGGAGATAAAAATATTAGGGTGTTTGTTTAAATTTAGTTTTTGTTTAAAATTTATCCCCGCCATGCTTAGGCCTAAAATTCTGACGTTAACATAAAAATAAATTAGAAATTGCCTAATGTCAAATGAGATTTCCTGCTGTTATCCATGCTTTTAAAACATTGTAACTATTGAATTGGAAGAGCAGTGCGAATATAGGGAAAACTCAATAATTGTACCGTATTTACGCGAAATAACGCGCACCTGCGCGTTATTTCGAAGAGATGCTCGTTATTTCGAAACCGACTACGTTATTACTAATACGTTATTTTAAGAGAATGCGATTTTCGAAATAACGCCCATGTGCGTTATTTCGCGTAAATACGATAAGCCAATTTAACTCAAATAGTTACGAAGGAAAGAGGTATTTACTGGATATAATTAATTTATTATTATTGATATCAGGAATCTGATCAAATAATTGATATTAATAACTAATAACTATTCTTAATCTCTTCCAGGGGTCTCTTGACAGTCATATCACGTGATTTTCCAACGAATAACCCGTTGAATTAGGTCTCGATGGGTCTATTAAATTTAAAGTCGAATTCAAGAAAAATATTTATTACTTAAAATTCGGATAAGTATTGTAATTTTTTATTTAAGAAAATAGGCGTGGAACATGAATTGCTTATATACATTTTGATTTTGTAGGACGTTTACGCCATATTTTTGATGTCTACGTTATTATTTTTTTTAGCGCATCAGCGACGCTTACGCTTGAAATTTCATGTATGCGTCATGGGCCTAGTGATATTCAGAGTGGGGTAACGACGCGGATTTATATTTTTCTTTATACGTTTCATCAGTTCCCATTTTTGTATAACAAAATAAAATAAAATAAATAAACAAAATAAAAAATAAAAAGGAGATAAGATAAAAAGTAAAGAGGCGAATAGGGTAAGTACAGTATATACATTATATTTAAAGATTACTAGTTAGAAAGGTTAAATAATAATAATAAATAGGTCAGAATAGGGATGGGCCACTGCGCAGAATTTTTGAGAGACTGCGCAGTGTAATTTTTATAACTCGGGCCAGCCAGCATAATTCTGGCCAGCTTGC